ATATTTACTGGTTGTACCTGATCATATTTCCTGGTATTAGTCCTTTCTGTTAACTGTTAACCAAAAGGGAATACAAGATGCTATAATACAGAAGGAATGTTTGGGTTTTATTAATGAAATAATGATTTGTTTTTCTTTTAGCTTTGGCTCCAACTTTTGAAATGAATCCTATGAAGAAAAAGATCCTGGCTGCTAAAGGAGGAAGGGTTATTATTGAGTGCAAACCTAAAGCTGCACCTAAACCAAAATTTTCATGGAGTAAAGGGACAGAGTGGCTTGTCAATAGCAGCAGGTCAGTTTAAAAATTAGAAATCCCAAAAAGGACAAAAAAAATTAGAAATCCAATTGCAATGAACTATTTAGGAAGGTTTATTTTATACAACACTTGTTTTTATATGAATAAAGCAAATTTTGTTTGTTCCAACATTTTTCCACAGAAGATTCTCAAGTTCTATGATGAATAGAAATACTTACCCATCCCTTCAGTATCTACAATAATCAGGATTCAATTCTTTGTATTCTATAATTTGTAAGAATTTAGAAAATTGAGGTTCAGAGATTTTTTGGTAAATTGCCCAAGGCCCACAGCTAATAAACAATGGGAAATGAAATAGGTTCTCTCTAACCTATTTTTCCCTTAACAAGGGCATCCCTATCCATTCATATTTGATTTAATTTTATGCAATGAGCCTACTAAGTATTTTGGTAGGAAAATAAAAAATGTGATTTCACCATACAAATCATCTCTTCCCATCTTCTTAAATGAGCAGGTAGGTACCAATGTTTTGGTGGCTTTGGTCGAAAACACAAAAGCATCATGTGACTTGCATAGATTATTTATATAAAAACCACACTGAATAGTTTCTATAAGTTTCCTAGAAGAAGTTACACTTATATTGAGTACTAAAGTATGAGGAGGAGAAAGCCAGGATGAGAAATTGGAGGAATGGGATGTGGGGGTGGAAGTGGAGGTGTCTTCCAGGAAGTGAGGGCAGAGTGTGCAAAGGCCCAGGGCAGGAGTGGAGGATGTGTAAGGAATTGCAAGAACAAAGTCAGTATGATTTGTGTTTAGAGGGAAATGTAGAAGATGTTTAAGAGATGAGATATAATAAGCCAGATCATAAGTGACAGCATTTTCCATGCTAAGGGGCTTGGGTTTCATCAAAGAGTCTGTCTAAAGACCTAAACAAAGGAGGAATGGGGTAATTTTTAAAAAGAATATTCTGGCAGAAGTGTAGAAAATAGATCATTAAAATAATCCGATGAGGTAAGTAAGATGGGTATTCTGTTCACATCTCTATTTTGATGTGTCTAAAGCCTGGAAAAGTTAAAGTGGCCTTCTGAAAATATATTGATAACATCCAAGCTGGAGCGTTTGTCAACATGGAATGAGAACGTGCCAAGTTTTCTCATGAAGATGGTCACAAGTATGGCTGTGTATGGGGCCAGGGGAGGGAGACAGAAATAGCTCCCTGAACACATTAACTTTTAAAGTCCATGCATTTGACCTGAAAGTTGTTAGGACTTTAACAAAATGATACTAGAAGAATTGGTGTTAAGGGAAGAGTCAGTTTGTTTAATTTGCTGCTGAAGCATGAATGGTCAGACAATGAACAACTCAGGACAGTGATCAAAGAACAGGCCTATTTTTCAGTGTTCACCCCTGAAAAACCCTACAGCACAGCATTTTCCATTGGCACCACCGTTACCTCTCCCTCCTTGATGATAAAATCTTTCTGTGATTCTGATGAAGACCAATATCATGGGCCTCTTCAACCAAGGATTTCCCAGAACCATGTTTCATGGACTTGTTTTTCCTAAACATGTGCTCAAAAAAAAA